CACCGGGCTGGTTGGACCCGTAACCGAGCAGCCTGTTGTGTCCTGGAGCCCTTCGGCCCGTCCTGATGCTGCAGGGCCGGTAAAATGGGGTGAGGAAAGTGACAGGGCGAGCTTTGACGTGTAGCTGAGCCCAGGGCTGGGCTGAGGGTGGCTGGCACTAACCCACGCCAAAATACAACAAAAAACCTGTGGCAGAGCATGTTTTTGCGGGCTGTGACTGCAGGTGTTGGCGGCAGTCACTCCTGCCCTGAGCGTGTTCGGTCTCTGCTGTGGAGTGGAGGTAGTGGAGCCCTTCCCGGGCTGGAGGACTCATCCTGACAGTCAGACCCCATGTACAGATACTCAGGAATGCTGGCCTTCAGTGTGTGTGGGAGTTAGCAGTTGCACAAACAAAGTGATGTAGAAAGGTGAGGAATTGAGAAATAGCTGACCTTTCCTGCTCAGAGTGGTTCCTAAGAAACACTCTGGGCAGCGGGAGATAATACTGCTTTTTATTTACCCAGCAAAGACTTGTTTGTTGTGACAACAGAGATGTGGATGGTCTTCCTGGGAAGCAGCCTCCTGGTGTCCCCAGGGTGGGGAATGTTCTGGGGAAATCTTGTGACCCGTTCCCAGAGAGACTGGTGCAAGGGAGCCCTCCCAGTGTAGACACTGAGCCCCAGGCAGACCTTGGTGCCTCGCTGAGCTGTTGTCACACAGGGTTTTGCTTAGGACCAGGTGGTTTTGAGTTGTGTCTCCTGCTGGACTTCAGCCTTGTGCCAGCTGCCTGTTGCCCCTGGTCAGGCCGATCCACTGCAGGCACAATTCTCATCCCTGCCTGGCTAAAGCACTGCTCCAGCACCTCCTCGATGGGCTTGTTCAGGTGGGAACATCCAGGCTCTGCCCTTGTGCTGCCCCTCTTGCTCGCTGTCCCCTGTGTCATCCCATGTCCCCCAGGTCTGGCCCCGTGCCGGGCCGTGGTGCTGCCCCACGCGGGGGGAGCGTGCCCGTTCTCCCGTATGTCACAGTGCCAGCGCTGCCTCGGGGCCCGCGAGACCGTCTGTGCTCTGCTTCCCACTCCCAGATCTCTCCACAGGCTGGGAAAGACAAAAAGAATGTACTTAATGCAGCTCGGGTGAGCCCCCTGCCAGGCTTGGCGGGCTGAGGACATGGGGAACAGAGCCCTGCCATGTTGTGGGGTGGCTGCCTGCTCGCTGTGTTGGCTGGAGTGATGGAAAGGGCATGGGAAGCTGGAGATGCCCCATAAGCTCTTGGGGGACAGCCCCGTCTGGAGATGCCTCACAGGCTTTGGGGGGACAGCCTTGGTTGGAGATTCCCCACAGACTGTTGGGGGACAGTCTTAGCTGGAGATTCCCCACAGACTGTTGGGGGACAGTCTTAGCTGGAGATTGCTCACAGGCGTGGGGAGCAGGCTCGGGGCACAGCCCGTGCACAGTTACTACCGGCGGTTTCTCTGTTCACAAGAGCAGGAAGCGGGTGACGTGGGGTGACATGGGGTGACATTACCGCAAGGCCCCAGGACAGTTTCTCAACAGGTATCAGCAGGAAATCTTGCGGCTGGGGACAGGGCCTGGTGGAAAAGGCAAGTGGGTTTGGAGACATCGCCCCGGCTGGGCACCCACCAAGCAGGGTGGGAAGATGCCGGGCGGGATGGGAGCCAAGCCGGAACAGGCAGAAAGGGATTTCTCTCTGGCAAGCCAGGAACACAGTGTCGTGCCTGTTCTCCGGACACTGGCGGACAGCCGGTGCTGGCCACCCCATCCCCCTGCAGCCCCAGCACTCTGGGTGGGTGGGATTCCCCGGGATCACTGGGGAAGCGGGAGATTTGCATGTGTCAGAGTCTTGTTTGTTTTGTTGGGCTGGACTTGCCTTTATTTGCTTAACAAGCCTGGAGACACTTGAGAGCTGTGAGAGCTGCCTGTGGCAAGTGATCGTTTAACGTCTCCCACTTTCCAGCAGAATCCATCCTCTCTCCAAACCCTGCTGGGTCTTGCATGACTGGGACCCCCCTGTGCTAGGGGGTCAGGCACACCCCCAGCTCTCAGTGCTGGGCGTGGGCTGAGGAGATTTTGAGAGGCTCATCGTGGGTTCCCTTTTCATTCCCATAAAACCTTAGACATTCAAATCCCCCTGATGCTGAGATGGAGGTTTTGAGCCTCCCTGGGGAGCTGATCCTTGCACCCCTGTCTGTGGTGCTGAGCCAGCACAGTGATAGTTTTACATCCCTGAGGCCAACCCCGCTTCCTGGGGCCCTGTGCTGTGTGAGTGTCCCCAGCGAGAGCTCTTACAGTTCATCCCCCCCTCCTTGTGTTTCCGGAGGCTTCAACTGCTCAGGAGTATCTTGAGAAAGTTTCATGCAAACCACACTGTGTTCACGGGGCAGCACCAGGTGCTGCAAGCCCAGCACCTTGGCATGGGCTGGGGCTGCTTGTACCAGGGCAGGGTGTTTCCTACCAGCCCCGGGCCTCCCTCTTGCAAATTTAGTGCTAAATTAGAGCCCTCCCTGCCAGCAAGGCTCATCCCTCCTTGTAAAATCTGGGTGAGCCTCCCAGGGCTGGGTTTTGGGGCATAACGGGGAGCATTTCCCCCCTTATTTGGGAGCACTGCACTGGGGGGTAGCTGATGTTTAATTAGGAAATGAATTAAATTTCCTCTCAAGGCAGCTGCATGAAAAGCAGCTCCAGTCGAACAGGACGTGACAGGGATGCTGCAAGGAGGCTGCTTTGCATCCCCTTTGTATGAAGGCAGAATGTGTGCGCCAGATTTCGGGACCCGTGTGAATTTGCTGGCCCAGGCGTTCTCGAGCTGTTGTGTTTCTCTTTGAGTAACTGGAAATGCTGCTGCTGCCGATGGGCTTGATGCTGCTTGTAGGGCTGGGAGGTGGGGAGCGGGTCCTGATGCCTGTTTACTTGGGGTTCCCGTGATCCTGGGATTGCTGGTCCTGCCAGGGGGCTGAAGGTGCTGTGGAGGGTTGGTCCAGCAGCTCCTGGAGGGAGAAGCATATGCCCCAAATCCTGTTCCAGGATAGGAATAGGGATGCATTGCTGCAAAGCTCCCCATGTCAGGCGGGTATCTCTGCAGACAGGTGTCTGTCCCTCTGCCGCCCCTGGGTGTGGAGGAGAGGGGTGGCACGGGATGCCCGTGCGGGGGGGCTGAGTCCGGCTTCCCCCCGCCTCCCTCCCCGCCGGAGGTTGTAATTGCTCCTAAGGAGGCTCTGCCGGCTAATCCGTGTCCCAGCACGGCGGGAGGGCTGCTGGCCTTGGAGGAGAGGATGCAGCAGCTTAGAGAAATTAGGGGCATTTCCGCTGTCCTGCTGCCCAGCTCCATAGCCACGGGGTTTCTCTGCATCCCGGGTGTTGGCCCCAAACCCTCTCTCCTCGCGTTGTTAAGCCCGAGGGGGGTTTTGGGGCTGGAAGGATGACCTACCACAGGGTGCTTGACTCGTGGATGGGCAGGATATAGCTGCCGGAGGATTGGATGCATGTTTTCCTCTCCGAGAGACAGAATGGTGGCTGCCCACGGGGTTTCTGCTGGCACTGGGGATTTGGGGAGGGCACAGGCAGCCTGGCACGCTGGGCTGGAGGAGCTGCCAGCCACTGGTGGGGGGGTGCTGGGGGGGCGGGTCATGGCCCGGCCGGGCTGCCCTCACACCGAGTGCTCCTGCCTTGGCCAGCTGCCTTTGAGGGATCAGTGCCTCCCTCTATCATGACCTGTCCCCCTGTCCTGAGGCATCTGTCCACCCTGCAGGGCTTCCCACCCCCTCCCAACGCCCCCCAAAATTCATGGCACCAGTGCCTCAGGGAGCCCAGGCTGCCAGGGCTTTGTTGGTATGGGTGGGAGCGAAGTCCTCCCTCCTCCCATTCTCTCCCGGGAGCACTGCCAGCACCGCTTGCCGGGTGCTCCCTCCGGCTTTGTCCCGAGCTATCGGCGTGGAGCAACCCCACAGTGCTGCCAAGGGCACCGGGAGCGTGGGTGCTCCGGAGCCTGACCCCCCTGCTCGAGGTCAGGCCAGGGCAGGGCCCCAGGGAGGTGCTGCCTTCCTCTAGGCTGCACCAGGCTCCTGCCTTTTGTCCTTATTTTGGGTATTGTCTGTCCCTGTCCAGTTGCTGCGTGGGTGGACGATGCTGTCGCACCCTGTGAACCTGCTGCCACCAGGCACGGGGGGACCGAAGGGCAGCCGGGGCAAAGTTGAGGGTCACAATCCTCCACCCAGCTGGGGAATCCACATTGGGCATTGCCTGTGGAGCTGAGCCAAGTGGGGAGCAGGTCCTGTGTGCCAGCGCTGAGGCATCCCGGGATCACCTTCACTCCTGGCAGACGCGCTGGGTGCTGCCTGCACCTCCCTTCCCGGGGCGTTGGCAAATGGTGCTGGGGTGGTAGCTGGCCTTGACCATGGAGGAAGGCGTTGTGCAAGAAGATGAGGCTTTATCAGGGCCTTATCACAGCATTTGGCTCAGCAATTGCAAATGCGTCACCCCGGCCCGTGTGGGACCCTGTGCCACTTCAGTGCTCTCAGATGTGGGGTGTCAGCACTCCAGGACCCAGGTTTTCCTGGCTGGGAGCAAAGGGAATTTCATGGCAAGGAAGCACACGTGCTGTGCAGGGGATAAAGGGCAGCACGGTGCAGGTGTGGGAGGGGAAATTCCTGCAGTGCCTCTTCCAAGTGATGCTATGGGTACCAAAGGAGAAAAAATTATCTCAGAAGAAAGATTAGATACAAAACCTCTTGGCAAGGAATATTCCAGCAGTTTGAGCAAGGCTTGGCTGCTGGGAGAGCCCAACCAAAGCCCAGGGGCTGGTGGTCAAGGCGGGATCGAACCATTTTATCTATAAATGTGTGGAAGTGGTGTTGGGTGCTGGGGTCAGAGCAGTTCTGATGGTGCCACGTGCAGGTGGCTGGTTTGTGTCGCCTGCTTCCTCTGATGCTTCCCGGGCATCCCACTCCCCACTGGGTGAGCAAAGGCAGTTCCTGTGTGCCGGGCTCCCGGGGGTGCTCCTGCTTCTTTCTGCTGCTCACAGGGTGGGGAGCTTAAAGGGCTCTCTGCGGGCCGGGTACATGTGGCTGCCCCTGCAGGGTTCCCTGGCGCCAGGTGCTGGTGGATCCACAGGTCAAGGTGAAACCAGGTGCAGATGAGCTGGGTGTTGCCTCCTGGAGAGTTGAACATCCCATGTCGTGCTGCCCCGGTGGAGCTGGTTTCTGTTTTGCAATCCCGGAGGGGTCATGCCGGGGCATTGAGGCACCTCGGCATCGCAGCTGCTCCAGCGGGATCCCAGCTGCCTGCCCAAGCCCTTTGTGCCCCTTCCCTGCCAGCAGTGGCTGTGGGGTGGGGGATCTCACTGGTCCCATGGCTGGGTTTGCTGTGGAGGGGGGCTGCAGCTGGCAAGGGCGTGATGGAAGGGACCTGCTCTGGTGGTTGAGATCTCTCTGGTAGCCAAAGCTTCCCGAGTGGGATGGGATGGGGTGGGGGTGCTTCCCAGCAACATGGACTGTGTTTCCTCCTCCACCTTCATGGCAGTTGCAATCCTGATCCCAAAAGGAAGAGCGTGGTCTGGGGACACACATAATAACATGTTTCTTCAACGTTTCGCTGCAATTAGTGTGCCCTGCACCTAATTCATTAATTAATGCCTGGGATCATGGGGTGTTTGGCACGCTGCTCCCCAGCTCGAGGTACCAGTGTTTGCAGGTGGCCACACAGGGATGGTGTCCCGGGGAGATGTCCGAGGGTCCTGGTGCTTTCCCTGGGTGTTGGGGGGGGGTCTGAGAGCAGTTTACCCACGGGCTGTCCCCGTTGCAGGAGGAGCTGCGACCTCGGCTGTGCCACATGAAGAAGGGCCCCGATGGTTATGGCTTCAACCTGCACAGTGACAAGAGCCGCCCGGGGCAGTACGTGCGCGCCGTCGACCCCAACTCGCCGGCCGAGGCAGCAGGGCTGGCCCCCCAGGACCGCATCATCGAGGTATGCTGGGGTGGGCAGGGTTCTGGGGGGGTCTCCCAAAAAACCTTGGTGCTCCCTCACATCCCGGTGGCTGGGAGGCAGCTGCCCTTTGCCGGGAAGGTGTGTGGTGTCCTTGACGCTGGTGGTGACTCACAGTGCAGACACCCAACCTGCACCAGCCTGCCGGTCCCACCCAGGGGTGCAGCACTGTGGAGGGTTGGGGCTGAGCACTAATTAGCTGGCTGTGGGTTAATTAGCAGTAGCACTGTCCCTGGGATGCCCCTGGGGTGTGGCAGGCTGGGGACAAGGTGCATGGTGGCCCCGAGTTCTGCTGCCAGACATGACCAGGGTGGGGATGGGGACTGGGTTTGTGCCAGGTGGGATGATGACCCATGAGAGCAAGGACAAACCGAGCCCCAACCCTGCTGCTCACTGGGGCGTGGGGCTGCTGCCTCGTTTGGGCTGAAGTTTTGGGGTCTCTGGGGACCATGAGGGCTTTGTCTCTTGCCCGTGCTGCCCATCTCCTGTGCCCGCCCCGGGTCTGTACCCTGCCAGGCACTCCTTGCCAGCTTTGCCCGTTCGATCCCGTGCTAATCACTCAGAGGAAAATCTGCTTTTAATGAGGTTTTCCTGGCTCCGCCACTAATCCTGTGAGGCTGTAAATGCCTGCAGGGGCTGTGGGGTGGCTGTGCTGGGGTTGTGACTGGTACCAAGGCAGTACCCGGCCCCTCTGTGGAGCTCTCAAGGGATGGATGAGCCCTGGCTCCAGGAGTGATGTGGTGCCTTGCCTGCAGGTGAACGGTGTGTGCATGGAGGGCAAGCAGCACAGTGACGTGGTGGCAGCCATCAAGGCAGGCGGTGATGAGACCAGGCTGCTGGTGGTGGATGTCCTCACGGATGAGTTCTTCAAGAAGTGCAAGGTGGTGCCCTCGGAGCAGCACCTGACAGGTGGGCTGGGGCTGTGCTGCGGGGATGGGGGTTTGTGTCATCTCTGTCAGCTTTGTGTCACCTTGTCACCAAACCTGGGGTGCTGGGGTGCTCCCTGAGCCCTGGGAGGTGGAGGTTTATCACCCTAGGGCCAAGCAGAGGTGTCTCCCTGCCTGTTTGGGGGCCCTGTGCTGGGGTGGTGGTTTATGGCCCTGGGTTGCACTTTGTCAGGGTTTATGGCCTGGGGAGTGAAGAGGCATCAGCTGCCCTTTGCTCTGCTCCATGGGCCCCTCCCTGCTGTCACGGTGGTCCCCAGGAGGATGGAGAGGGGTTCTTACTGGGCTCCACATCACTGCTGCCATCATGGGGATGTGCCTGGCAGCATCTCCCCGTGCTGTGGAGTTGGCTCCAGGGGCTGGTTAGAAAACTCAGGACCTGGCCAGATCCTGGGCAGTGTTGTGTGAGCACTGGCCATGTGCAGCCTTTGATTGCCCCACATTGGTGAGGGGACAAAGCAAATACATCCTCACTTGGTGCCCATGTCCTTGTCCCACAGGTCCCTTGCCAGAACCAGTTGCCAATGGCGATATAGAGAAGGTAAGAGCCTCGTCTTGCTTCTAACCCCGTCCATGCCCATCTCCAGGCAGGGACCCTCCTGTTCAGGTGTCCCCATGGACAGAATGATGCCACCAGGGACTGCAGTGCTCCCAGGCTGCCACACAAGAGCTGGTGCCACTGGGAAGGGGACTGGGAACTGGTGTCCCCCAGGAAGGGAGTTGCTTGTGGTGCTGAGTGTAACAGAGATGGCTGCAATTGCCTGTGCCTCCTCTCCTTTTGCCTCCTGATGCTCCAGGGCTAGGAGCCCTTGTGCTGCTGCAGGGAAGTAGCATCCAGCCCTGCAGCCACCCTCCTCCTCCTGCTCCTGCTAAAGCCAGGGCAGTCGGCCGGGGTTTAATCCCTCCCCGCCCCAGATGGGCAGCGCTGGAGTATTTATGTGCCTGGAGCTTGCAGGGGATTACGTGTGGGGAAGGACGGATTTCGTGGACCCCCGGGTGGGACTTGCAACTCCAGCGGCTGTTCTCAAGCTGCAGGGGCTGGAGCTCTCATTCCCTCC